GTGATAAAGTTCTTTATTTTCTGTAATGCAATTACAAATCATGAAATGTCATACATTCTAGATTCATTACAAATCAACTGAAATATCGCAAGCCTTTTATTGTTTTAATATCGCTGATTATGGTGTACAGCTGAAGAAAACTCAAAAATCCGATATTCTAATATTTTGAGATAGGATATTTGGGTTTCTTAAGCTGTACGCCATAATCAGCGATATTAAAACAATAAAAGGCTTGCAATATTTCAGTTGATTTGTAATGAATCCAGAATGTATGACATTTCATGATTTTTAATTGCATGACAGAAAATAAAGAATTTTTTTGTGACTATTGCTAATGCTCAGTTAAGAAGGCAGCAACAAGGATTTATGTCAGTTTGTGGTTGAAGACTTTGTGGAGGTGTTGTTGTTTTTGTTTTCACATATTCTAATCACATATTCACGTATTCTAATTTTCTGAGACAGTCCTGTATATTGATTTCTCTAACACGTGCTCGTCGGCAGGTCACGGAGGAGACGCGGCTCATCTTAAGCACGCTGGGCTACGTTTGTTCCTGCCGAGGGATCATCAACGTGAAGGGCAAAGGGGAGCTGAAGACCTACTTTGTGCACACGGAAATGACCCGGTCCCTGTCCCAGGGGACCCTGATGCCGTGAACTCGACTGTGAAAACCCGGATAGAACTCTCTCAGCAGAACCCACCACGAGAACCCGGATCGGGAACCCTCAAGAACCCACTTATGGACGCAGAGACAACCAAGCAGATCCCCATCGAGGACCTAAACCCCAGGGAGTCTGTTCTCTGTCCGGAGACTAAACGAGAACAAACTGAGCTTCTGGTTATTTATTTTTTTCTATCTTCGCCCGGTTTTGGCTCCGAAAGCCTGTTTTGTTGCGTTTCATTCCAGAAAATGAATGTTATAATAGTCTTTTCCTCACATCCATGGAGCTTTTGGACGCTAACTAATTGCCTGTGCGGTGGGTAGTTTGCCAAAAATGTGTGGTTTGTGTTTGTAGCTTTATAGCTGCCTTCGTGTCCCAGGTGGATTCAGACACAGAAACCAGGAGGGAATGTTAGTTTTTTAGAAATATATATTCCCTCTGGAACCCAAAACCACTGACATGTGTCCACATGTTCACTGCCATCCTTTTGTTATTCATTAAACATTTGTATGTAATTTACATTCTCTGTGAAAGGGTCCTGATTTATTGCTTTTAGCTGTCAAAGTGGTCAAAAGTTTGCCAGATTGTTAGAATAATCACAGGAATATGCAGGTTATTGTTTGGTAATTTATTTCATAAGACCATTTTACACAAGTTACATCTGTTTTTTATTTGAGTATTTTTACAGTGTAGTATGTTTTGTTTTGGTTCAGTTTTTCTCCAGTTTCAAAAGGCGAATGAGGGAAAAGATTATTTAAAACAGCAACAACAAATGGGTTCAAACTATGTACAAAAAGTTTAGATTAGCTGTTTTTTTTTTAATGCCCAGAACTTAAATATGTTTCCCAAATCAAAGCAAAGAGACGGTGTCAATAAAAGTAAATTACCAGTGAAAATAAATCAATTAAGATCATTTTAATTATACATTTTAATTAAACAGATATTTTCAAGCGTCAGAGTAAAGAAAACAGAATCTGTTTGGTTGGGAGTGAATAAACTGGGACGGGCGCTAACAGTAGGTGGCGCTATGGTAGATTTCCCTTCAAAAGTTGTCCTAAACCACAACTATAACGGAAAAAAGTGTCTAAAAATGTCTGGAATTTTCCGTGTGAGCACTATCTGCAAGTTTCCTTCTTTCCTCCAATGGGTGACCTCTTTGAAACACAACCTTATTTCGCCTACTTTAAAAACAAAACTAGCAAGAGATGCGTCTTTTGTTGCCTCATTAAATTTCCCTCCTACTTAAATTTTTTGTTTTTAAATATCCATGTACACACTCACGCAAAGGTTCAGAGCCTTGAAGTAATAACCAATATTTCCTACTCTGCTCATACAGCAAATTCTTCTTCATCTTCTTTTTCTTTTTATAGAAAAAGGTGATTCCACTATGCAACGTGCAACGCATGAAAGGAGAGCTTAGGTGGTTATGATGGAAGGTAACAAAATATAAAAGGCTGCTTTCACCTCCATCTGAAGCATCATCTGCTGTTTGAAGTGTGAAGCCAATTATTTGTGAAAGCAGAGAGCTGGTAGTTTTTCCTCCTGATCCTGTTCCAAACAGACGGTGTTGTTTATACGAATACAGGGTCTTGTCTCTTTTCTTTTCGTTTTAAAACGCACAGGTAGGAGCAAACTAAAGATTAGCTAAATTAGCATCACATACAGAAACGGTCTCAGTGGGCTCAGACTCAGAGTCAAGAGGTTAGCGAGCCTTTGCCTTTTGACACTTTTCTGCTTTTTTGCTACCCTTTTTTATTTTATTAAAATAGGTTTAATCTAGGGGGTGGTTTTGTTAAAAAAATGTTTGGAATTTACCCTAAAAGGGGACTTAATTCTATTCCTTGAAAGGGTTATGTGTAAATACTGAGACGGTTTCTGAGCAAGAACGCTGATTCTTAATAAAAATCTGTGTGTGTGTGTGTGTGTGTGTGTGTGTGTGTGTGTATCTCTGTGTGTGTGTGTGTGTGTATCTGTGTGTGTGTCTGTGTGTGTGTGTGTGTGTATCTGTGTGTGTATATATGTGTGTGTGTGTGTGTCTGTGTGTGTGTATATGTGTGTGTGTGTGTGTATGTGTGTGTGTCTCTGTGTGTGTGTGTGTGTGTGTGTGTGTGCGTGTGTGTGTGTGTGTGTGTGTGAGGATATTCAACTGAAACCACTTAAATGTTTACATGACATCACACCAGTGTTACCTTTACCTAACGTCTGCACCACACACTGCGCACAGCCTCCGGTTTATTGAGCAAAGCTGGTAGCACACAGCTCTCAGATGGGAACCACGGGCCCGTATCCCTCCTCCACGCTCCAGACGATGCCGTTCTTCATGTAGAACTCGGCCCTGATGCAGGCGACGCGGGCGAACTGCCGCTCCGTCTGCAGCAGAACGGCGGCGGAGCGGCGCCCGTACGCCGAGGAGGACAGAACCGGCACCACTCTGGACACTTCCTGAGAGGAAACGGGACAAGAGGTACAGCGGGGGAAATAAGTATTTGACCCCTTGCTGCAACGATCTATAACTTTAATCATATGTACATTCTAACAGTGAGAGACAGAATCCAAAAGAAAATTCCAGAAAATCACATCACATGAATTTATACAAATTGATAACCATCTGATGAGGAAAAATAAGCATTCTTTGTAAGTGGGCAAACCTGCAAAATCAGCAAGGGGTCAAATACTTATTTCCCAAAGAATGCAACGATCTATAACTTTAATCATATGTACATTCTAACAGTGAAAGACAGAATCCCAAAGAAAATTCCAGAAAATCACATCATATGAATTTATAAAAATTGATAACCATCTGATGAGGAAAAATAAGCAAGTGGGCAAACCTGCAAAATGAGCAAGGGGTCAGATACTTATTTCCCCCACTGTAATGCATAAACAATCCCAATATGTTCCTCTGGTGATGAGACTCATAACGCAGACCTATTTCTGACCTAAACTAAGAACGTGCATTTTTCTGCTTATTTTAGTAAATGGTTGTCCATCCATCCATCCCTGATGGGTTCGGGGGGGCGGAGCCTATCCCAGTAGCCAATGGGGAGAGGCGGGGTCCCCCTGGACGGTCCCCAGTCCATCACAGGGACACACAGAGACACACAAGGACCAACAACCACACACACTCACACTAAGGGCAGTTTGGAGTCCAACAACCTAACATGCAGGTTTTTGGAGGGTGGGAGGAAGCCGGAGAACCCGGAGAGAACCCACAGACACAGGAG